ACCGCACGGTTTAGAGTATATATCTCGTAAACTTCGACTACTACACTGGACTTATTTTCCGATGACATGTTTGCCTCCTATTTTCAACACGGAGTTCCTGTTTGAACTAGAGATGCCTTACAGCAAACTTGAGAAGTTGTGGGAAGGTATTAAAGTAAGTAATTTTGATTTATTTCTTTTAGATATTTTATTAATTAAAGTAAGTAAGGAATTAATTACTAATAGAATGGAAGTCTGTTTTTACGTCCAATAATTTTCTAATACATGTTCTTATTATTTGTATGTATAGCCGCTTCCAAATCTCAAGTGGATGGATTTGAGTTCGTCTCTCCTCTTAAAGGAGCTTCCTGACCTCTCAACTGCCACCAATCTTCAGAAATTGAATCTGAGTGGTTGCTCTAGCCTGATGAAGATCCCCTCCACTATTGGGTATACCAAAAATCTTCGGATATTGAACCTTCGCAATTGCTCAAGTCTGATCAATCTCCCTATATTTATTGAGAATGCCACTACTCTCGAGTTATTAGATATCGGTGGATGCTCAAGTCTGGTGGAGCTCCCTTTTTCTATTGGGAATCTCATCAATCTAAAAGTATTGTATCTTAGCAGTTTATCATGTCTAGTGGAGCTCCCTTTCTGGATTGGAAATGCCACCAACCTAAGGAGATTATACCTTGAGCATTGCTCAAATCTGGTAAAGCTTCCCTTTTCTATTGGAAACCTTCAGAAGTTGCAGACTTTGAACTTACGAGGATGCTCTAAGCTAGAGGATCTTCCGGCCAACATCAAATTGGAATCTCTTTGCAAACTTGATCTCACTGATTGCTTGCTGTTGAAAAGGTTTCCTGAGATCTCCACAAGCCTTAAAGTTCTCTATCTCATAGGAACCACAATAGAAGAAGTCCCTTCATCAATCAAATCTTGGTCTCGTCTCATTGAGGTGCATATGTCATACAGTGAAAATCTCAAGAACTTTCCTCATGCTTTTGACATCATCACACGGCTGCACGTGACCAATACAGAAATACAAGAGGTTCCCCCATGGGTCAAGAAATTCTCTCGTTTAACAACACTCATTCTCAAGGGATGCAAAAAGCTGGTATCACTCCCACAGATTCCAGATTCCATCTCTGACATAGATGCAGAAGATTGTGAGTCCCTGGAGAGACTAGATTGCTCCTTTCACAATCCAAAGAGTCAGCTCAAATTTTCTAAGTGCTTCAAACTGAATCAAGAAGCTAGAGACCTCATCATCCGGACACCGACTAGTAATTATGCGATCTTACACGGCAGAGAAGTGCCTGCATACTTCACTCACCAATCTACTACTGGAGGTTCCTTGACAATCAAGCTGAACGAGAAGCCTCTTCCTACATCCATGAGGTTTAAGGCTTGCATTTTGCTGGTTCATAAAGGTGACAATGAGGCTCGTGATGATAAAAACTGGATGGATGAAAATGGCTGCACTGTTAGGTGTAACGAAAGTGTGCAATATTTATCTCCAGTTTTAGCAGAGCATATGTACGTATTTGAAGTCGAAGCAGATGTGACATCCAGCGAGCTTGTCTTTGAGTTCAAGATCAAGAGTAAGAATTGGAAGATAAAAGAATGTGGGGTATTCCAACTCTCGGAGGTTCGTTGATGAATCTTCAAAAAGTGATTTCTGAAACACCTTTGATGAAACTGAAGTCTGTGGTGAAGTAATGGAGACATACACTAAAAAGGTAATCTAATCTAAATGTTGATAGATTTTGTACAATGTTGAGGAATTTGAAAGCTCTCTGTATCTGCAAATTTTAATCTCTTCTTTGAGGATTGAATTTTTACTTTACTTCAAGCCGCCCATCAGGTGATTAAACCTGAACTCTTATTCAGAATTACTAAGAAGAGCTTGAAAAAAGGCTTGTTCGCGTATATCTTTGTTTCTTCAGGCTATCACCAACGTACACTGCAAGAAACCTTTTTTGTGCAGAACCCACAAGTCTTTTGCTCGTTGTTGCCGCTACAGCTCCTATGGAGCGGCTAAAAAAAATCTTATTTGCACCAAAGATACTTCTAACTCTAACCCAAAGACATTGGTGTCTGAAAGTCTTGCTTGTTCTTAGCTTACATTGAGTTCTTCGGTTGCCTTTGTTGATGATGTGAAGATGTTTTTGTTCTTTTTGGTATGTGTTTAGATCAAATGAAAGAGTTGCAGCTTCTCTTAGATCTTTGAAATCTGTGGTCTAAGAGCATGGAACAGACATGAACAGAGAGTTTCACATGGTTCCGTCCGTTTTCTACCAAATTCTGATTTGAAGAGTGCATTCATCGAACCAAGCGGTGGCATCGTTATCCTACAAGGAGGCGTAACTTGGAGTCAATGAAATAAAAATGGCAAAGAAGGCGTAAAAGTGAGGCCTTGCGTTTTACTACGAAGTGTTCTCAACATTAGTTTTGTGAAGAATTTTGCATTTAACCCTCAGATTGCGAAACATTATCTTTGCTACATAAGTTCAATATCAACGGAAATGCTTCATCAGATAGATAGATACTGAAGTCATTGGACTATAAATGTAAGACAACATTAAACTAAACACATATTTCCCTATACTAGGACTTAGGCCCACCGCGATGTGGAGAGGGAAAAGATTTCAAAAACTTTTTTAAGAAAAAAATATCAAACGAAATGTAATAATGAATTGAGTCAACAAGTTTCAAAACAATTTTTCTTAACAATAAATAAAGTTATATTTTTAGAAAAAATATGATAAAGAGACGTAAACCCTAAAAAGTATTTTTTAAGATTTTTCTTATTACTAGAAAACATTATGATGAAAAGATGAGATCATAAATAAAAAAAATTAAAGAAAAAGTTATAATGAGTAGATACAATTTTTCAATTTTCTAAACTATTATAAATATAACTATATAAATCTATTCAACAATATATTACGATAAAAAGACGCAATATTTTAAATGGTATTATGTTAAAAAGAGACAATCTTCGGAAAAATTTAACAAATAACCAAAATAGATAATTATTTAGGAAAAAATAATAACGATATAGATAACAAAGTATATACATGAATGTTAAATAGCAAAAAATGTAACTTTCTATGAAAAATATCAAACAAAAAGAAATAATAAATTTACACCACTTTTTTAAAAATATCTATATATATATATATATATAGAGTAAAAAAGACATGAAAGTTTAAATAGAAATTTTTTTATTATATAAAGTATGGTTTTCAAAGTTAATAACTCACGAGATCGTGACACGTGTCAAATGTTTTGATCTGAGATGTTGACATGTGTCAAATAAAATTTTCCTTTTAAAAGAAAGAAAAATTAAAAAGATAATTATAAAAAAATTAAAAATTTAAACAGTTTTAAAATGTAAATAGCTAATTATAAGGAAATTGTACATATATTTCCATAAGAGTTTTTGCCATCTAGCAAACAAAATTTTTGTTTTTAGAAAGCTAATTATAAAAAAAATTGTACATATATTTCCACAAGAGTTTTTCCAAGAAAAGATTTTAAAATAGAAAAAAAATTAAGAAAATTATACAATCAATTATTAATCCTATAAGAAAAAGGATTGTAAATAGTCACCTTTAGATAATTATAAAAAAAAATTATAAATTTAAACAGTTTTAAAATGTAAAAAGCTAATTATAAGAAAATTGTACATATATTTCCATAAGAGTTTTTGCCATATAGCAAACAAAATTTTTGTTTTTAGAAAGCTAATTATAAAGAAATTGTACATATATTTCCATAAGAGTTTTCCCAAGAAAAAGATTTAAAAATAGAAAAAAAATTTAAGAAAATTATACAATCAATTATTAATCCTATAAGAAAAAGGATTGTAAATAGTGACCTTTAAATAAACAAATAGATTGTCTCATATTTTCTCATCAAGCAAACTAATTTCTTAATGATGTTATATCATATCAATTATAAAAAAATATTTCGAATCACGATGTTTTTCTAAAAATTGCATGTGATATTCAGATCTAATGAATATATGGCAATTGAGGCAAATTAATAATGATGAACGGCGATAGACATAGACTAGAGTTATTGTCGGAGAGGCTTGGTCCAATGTCGGAGGAGATAAAGAAGGTGGAATAATAAGAGAAGTTGGGAAAAGAGGATAAGAGACAGTAAGTGGTGTTGGTGTTGATGATGGTGGTTCAGGCTTGGTGGTGGTAGCGGCGGTAAATATTGATGAAGGTGGTGAGTCGGAATTAGCGAGATTCGGTATTGTTGGTGGTGGTGGGTCAGAGTAGTGAGACTCGGTGGTGATGTCCGACAAATGCGAGAAATGTAGATAGGGAAAAAAATAAATAAAGATACGGTGGTGAAGATATCCGACGAGAGGGAGAGAAGGAGAAAGAAAGAGGAGTTCGAACAAAAATAAGAGAAATCTAATGAGAGAAACATATAGATTTGAAAATTATAAAGAAGAAAAAACGAAGAAATTAATAATATGAGCCAAAAAAATGATAAAAGCCATGTAGCAAATAGATAATGTTTAGTCTGATGTTATTTTTTTATTTTTTTAGTCTTAAGTTATTTAGTGTATATTCTCTAATTCTTTATAAGGTTTTCTCTTTATGTTGAAGATATTTTATATTATCAAGTAAAGTTATAGGGTTCGCTGCATATTTACCCCTGAACTATATACTTTCAACCAAGATCTCCCTGAACTTTATCTCTCTGTATATTTCACCATAAATAATTGTTTCTCTTCACTAAACTACCTGATTTATTAATATCAACATAATTCCACAAATCTAATTAATCTCACTAATCTGCGTTTAAAAATCCAAAATCGCGTTTACTGTTCATCATGATTTCTTGACCCAAATTTTAATCCGTTGACCCGAAAACATTGGTTGTACCCGAATTAAACCCTCTTTGTGGACTAGAGTCTTCAATTATAGACCTTTGTAAATCAATTTGGGGAGAATCTCAGTTTTGAGGATTCTAGAGAGTGAGAAGATAAATTGATAGAATATGTACGTTCACTTGAAAAAAAAACAAAAGATTAAACTGTAATGAACAAGAAAAAGCAAGAAGCATTCGTTACACCATTTTCAAAACAAAATGCTATTGAAATAGTGTTGTAGACTTGTCAATAACAACTAGAACCGTTTCCACCATGACAATCCAATACATGTAAAAGCCAAATGTTCAAAAACGTAAAGCTGACTATTAAAATGAGAACCACATTCAGACATCATTAGTGAGTTGCGTTGATTGAGTTGGTTGGGTGAGTCTGATTGTATCTGGACCTTGAGTAGAAGAACCACCAACCTAGAAAAATGATGTATCATCAATCTGACATCATCAATACAACCAAAATAACACTCCAAAAATAACCAAAACAGAAAATACCTCCTGCACTCCATTTGTCTTCCCCTTCTTAATCTTCTTAGCATTCTTATCCTTGTCATTCTTATTTTTTTTAGCTTTCTTTTTCGGGCTCTAACACATATATCAATAACTCCATTACCAATCGGAAACCATATGATACAAAACAAAGTTAAGCACAGAAAATACCTCATCAAGTGCAAGTGTCGTCTTTGCCTTTCTCTTCCTTTTCACTTTCTCTTTTGGAAATTTTTTGCAGCCGGCTGCATTATGTCCAGATTCACCGCAGCTTGAACAATGAATGATGCGTCCTTCTCTTCCTAGTTTTTCCACTTCATGTTTCTTCTTCTTCTTCTTTGGTGATTCATGTTTCCCTTTGATTCTTTGGAAACTTGATTTCTTTGTAGTTTTCTTTCTCCCAGGAAGTTCAGGCTCTGGTGGTGCAGTTACCAACCTATAACTATCATTCATCCAGTATTTTGGTCCTCTCATTGGACTAGTGGCTGTCTCATAATTATCTCTCCACATCTCTGTCGAGTAGAAATCAGATACATAATCTTCAACATCCAAACCAGCATCTATCATTGCACCATATGCATGCTCACAAGGAATCCCAGTAAGTTGCCACTTACCACATGAACAAATTGACTTCTGCATCTCCACTCTATCTGAATTTCCATCTATATACACCTCAAATACTCCATGGGTGCACCTATATGTTGTACATCGATCTGCATCTTTCTTCTCCGATGCAAGAATCTCAGCTACATACTCTGAAAATCTCCCTTGGTGGTTACGTGATTTTCTATTTCTCTTAGTTATTCTCTGCATTCCTTGCCTCCTTATTGTTTCCAGCATTGGAATCAATGACTTTGCTCTTGCTTTGGTGATGGTAGAGTTAAATGACTCAGTAGCGTTGTTATCAACATCCTCACAACAACTACCAATTCTGTAAAAAGCTCTTGACCAAGTATGTGGTTGCTCCTTCATCACATCATTGTATAATTCCAAATCATACCTTTTCAAGTTCTCAAGATTTGCAGCAAATGCCTTGGGATTGTAGCTCCAAGCTAATCTCCACACTAATGGCTTCAACATATCCTTCTTGGCATGGTTTTTCTTTAGATTCTCTATGATATGCTTAACACACATTCTGTGTTCAGCATTAGGTAATTCACTCTTTACAGCACTAAGTAGACCCTGCAAACAGAAGACCGACTATTAGTTACTTGAAAAAGCATAACAATGGAAACATAAGAGAATATTACTAACCTTGGATCGATCTGATATGATTACAAACCTACTGCCATCTTCTAGACCTAGGTCCTTCTTGATTTGCTTGACAAACCAGTGCCAATTATCTGCAGTTTCTGATTGTACCACAGCCCATGCAATGGGATAGATTTGATTGTTTGCATCATGACCAACAGCAGTCAAGAGAACACCTTTAACAGCAACCTTCAAGAATGTGCCATCAAGACCTATGATAGGCCTACAAGACCCTGCCCAAGAGGTTCTGAGTATGTGAAAACACACATAAAATCTGTTGAAAACATCTGCACCAGCTGCATTTGCATATGTTTCAATGAAAGCTACAGAATCTTTATTAGACGTACGTATCTCTTCGATATATCCCCGGAGATGAGCAAATTGTTGAGCATACTCTTGCTGAATCCATTTTAAAGCAAGAAGTCGTCCTCTTTGACATTGAGGTATGGAAGACACCAATTTCCATCTGTCTTTGATATGTTGTTAAATTTCAACAGGAAAAAACTTCTCATTAAGCCTCAACTTGTCCATGAAAAGCCTTCCAATTACAGGACTCTTCAAAATTTTGCATTTCCCGTTAGGAGTACAACTATGCCACAAATAAGATGTCTTCACCACAAACATTTGCCTCGGGTTATCATAAGAACAATACACCCTCCATTTACACTTCCCACCCATCCCGCACCTAAATTCAATTTTTTCTTTCTCCCACCTTTTTTGGACCACATTCCGTCCATGTCTCAAAGCATAGTCTAAGACAACTTCTTTAAACTCAACAACAGTTAAAAATGCTTTTCCAATTGCAAATTTATCAGGTTTTTCCCTTCTAATTCTCCTATCTCTCAACACAATCGGATCCTCATCTTCATCTGAACTATCAGGGATTGCATTACGACCAATTTTAATCTCATCAGCAAAATCAGCAACTGATTCATCCACTTCGTAGTCAAAACGCTCAAATACATCTTCTTCACTCTCCTTTTTCTTTTTCTTACCCTTCTTTTTCCTAGTCTTTCTTGCATCATTCTCCTCATCAGAACCAGAGCCGGCGCAGTAAATATAGGGGCCACAAGCCCAATTAATGTTTGGGCTGAATTATTATGTGAACAAAGCAAAAAAATCAAAAAATGTAAAAACTGTCTTTATGAGGGATCGAACTCAGGATACCAGATAGTATCATTTAACACTTAAACCACTAGACTAACGAGACATTTTACAAATTTGGGGCCGATTAAGACATTTATATTATGGGGCCACAGGCACATGCTTCATTGGCTTGTGCAAAGAGCCGGCTCTGATCAGAACCATCACTTCTATTATTTTCATCAAACCTATCACTCGAATTATCGCTCCGATTCTCACTAACCTCATCAATAGAAACATCATCTGCTTCGTACGTCTTTTCTCTTTCAGGTTCGTCACTAAAAGAAAACACGAGCAACTTATCAGTAACTTCATCAATCTCTAAATCAGAAGAAACCCATACAAATCCACACTTTACAAACTTAAATAACAGTTTAGTAAAGAGAAATAGCAGAACTTACGACATCTCGTTTCAGACTTTCCTCACAAATCCGAGCCTTTGTCTCCTTCACTGCAACAGTTGTGCAACACAAATCCCTTGTCGCTCACTTAAACCCTAAACGTGTTTTCAAATCCTTCTCGCTCACCTTTTAATTTCCCAATTTCGCTTCTCAATCTAAAGAACCCTAGAAACTGAAGTTTTCCCTAAATTGTTTTTCAAGTGTCGTTACATGGAAAAACGGTCTATTTCTCCACGAGAACTATGCTTATCACGCCAGATAGAGCCCGTTCTTTGACCTCGGTCTATATGTCCCCCAAAAAATACTTTTCAACTTATATCCCCATAAATTCATAGGTTGAATCCTATATCTCCCTAAAATAAAAGTTTTCATCTTATTTACACACAAACATTAGTTTTGTTCGGTTTACTGTCTGCTTACCAAACTAACGAAAATACTAAACCGGATTAAACCTAATCTAAACCAATTCTGACCCAATTACAACTAATTGAACCCGACCCAAGCAAACCCACCCAACCCAACATCCTTCTTCACCCGTAACATACCAATTCTTCTTCTTTCTCTCCCGTAATCTCTCTATGTTCATCTTCTAGCTTCACTCGCTCTCTTCGCCATAGCTTAACCTTCCTTTAAAAGTTGTACTTATGAAACCTAACCTATTTCTCTCCACTTCCTCTGCTCGGAACTTTTTGTTCTTCTCCTCTAACTCCTTCACCTCCAAAGCACCAAGCTTTGTCTCCAATTCCTTCATTCTCTTCTCATTCTCCTCCTTAACAGTCCTTAAACCAGCGACCTCTTTCTCCAATTCCTCAATTCCATCACCTTTCTGTGAAATCTCAGAACGGAGCTTCTCCGCCTCCGCCGTAGCCTCTTCTCCTTCCGTCCTGGCCGTGATCAGTTCATGCTGCAACCGTGCAACTTCGGTCTCTAACTCCGAAGCTCTCGAAGCTATGGCTTCAAGAACCTTTCTCTCCTCATCGGACTTGTCAATCTCTCGCTCCATCTCGCCCATCTTACGCCTGGCCTTGGATTCGGCTCCTCTCAGCTCCTCGATCTCCGCCTTCAAGCTCTCGATTTTACGACTGATTTCATCGTTATCTCTGGCCAGTTCCTGATTCAGAGACTCGAGCTCTCCGATCTTACGATTCAGTTCCGTGGACTTGCCGTCATCGCCTTGTTGATCAGAATCGAAGAAACTCTCATCCTCCTGCACAGTCGCTTCGGTAACAGAAGCGTTTTTTGGGTTTAATCGGATCAAAATCGGGTCGAAATCGGGTTTCTCTGGTTATAAATGGTTAACGAAACAGTAAACCGAAGAAACCCAAAATTCACCGACGTAACCACGATTCATGGAGATTAAGTTATTGAATCCCCATTTAGTGGGGAAATAGGTATTTAACTTCCGTTTCATGGACATATAGACCGAGGTCAAAGAACGGGCTCTATCTGGCGTGATGCGATAGTTCTCGTGGGGAAATAGACCGTTTTTCCGTCGTTACATAGAGGATGAAATGTAAAAAAAAAAATATATATATAGAGGATGAAATGTTATAATTGAAGACTCTAGCCCACAAAGAGGGTTTCATTCGGGTACACAAAGTATTTTCGGGTCAACGGATTAAAATCTGGGTTATGAAACAATGAATTATAAACGCGATTTTGGGATTTTTAAACGCAAATTAGTGAGATTAATTAGATTTGTGGAATTATGTTGATATTAATAGATCAGGTAGTTTAGTAAAGAGAAACAATTATTTATGGTGAAATATACAGATAGATAAAGTTCAGGGGGATTTTGGTTGAAAGTATATAGTTCAGGGGTAAATATGCAGCCAACCCAAAGTTATATGACATGGATATAGACGGTCTCATATTTTCTCTTCTTTTATTATCATAATTTTATTATGACGTCAAACTTTTCTAAACAAAATCCTATATTTACGTATCTCATACTATATATTTATATATTATACATATATCGTTCATATATTTACGTAACTATATAGTTTTATATTTTCTAATTGTCATAGTTTTGTTTCCATCTTGCCCACATTGAAATTATAAGATGTAACACACTCTTCTGATGGATGGAAACAACTTACTAAAATTCAATAATATAACATATGAATATTTATGACTTCATAACTTATACTAAGCAAAGAATTATATAATTTTATAAATAGGCCAACATTTATATTAGATGATTTAATAATTAGTATTACATAACTACAAATAATGTTTTATATTGCGCATTATGCTAATAAATCTATATTTAGAAATAATTATGCTGCATTTTCTAAAATATATATGTTTATAGAATTTTAGTTAAGGTTACAAAAATAAAATAAAAATGTTAAGAATGATAATCTCGACCGACAACCCGTACAACGCACGGGTCCATATCTAGTTGTTTATAAAAGACACAATTATTGGAACCAAGTGTTTGTGATGAAAAACACGAATAAAACATGGTGAAAATATAATATTATAAATGAACAAATATAAATTTAGTTAATGCTTTGTTCAAAAAAAAAGAAGCTTTAGTTAATGCTCTAAAAAATGTATTACAAAAGGCAATGTTGCAACGGTTCATCAAATATACGTAAAGTTGTAATAATTCATCAAATAAACCAAAGTTACAATAGTTCATCAAATATATCAAATATTGTAACGGTTCAAAAAATAAACCAAAAGTTACAACGTTTCATCAGATAAGACAAAATGTTCATTGGTTCGTCAAATAAACAAAATCTTACTATGTTCTATTAAACAGTAACAACATATTCATTTAAATAGTAATTAAAATTAAAAATTTGATGAAGAACTATAACCAAAAGACGCGACCGTAGATATCATATAATAAAAGTTGCAATCGTTTGTCAAATATACTAAATGTTGCAACGGTTCGTCAAATAAATTAAAAATTATAACGGTTCATAAAACAAAACCAAAAATTGCAATAATTTTTCAAATAAACCAAATGTTGTTACAGTTCGATTAAACATTTACAATATTATTTAAATACATTTTAGTAACTAAAATTAAAAAAATAGATTATAAAAAGTTACATTAAAAGAAGTGACTGTAGATAATTAAATGTTATAACTGTTTATAATATAAACCAAGAGTTGCATATGTTCGTGAAATAAACTAAATGTTGCAACCGTAGAAGACATTTATTCGGATCTTAACTTTCTAAAAAATTCAACCGTAAAATATATATTTTTAGTTTTAAAAAAATTAAAACGATTTATAAAATAAATCAAAAATTACTATTGTTCGTTAAATAAAGTAAATGTTGCAATGGTTCAACTAAACAATCGCAAGTATTTATGAGGTGTTACGATAAAAAGATGCAACTGTAGAAAATATTTATTCAGATTGTAACTTTTATAAAAAAACAACCGTAAAATATATATTTTAGTTAAAAAACCAAAATTTTAATCTATATAATATGAGACGTAACTTTAAATGAATAGATGCAACTATGAAGATATAACCGTAAATTGAAAAGATACGACTGTAATTGAACAAATATAACTGTTAAAAAAACCGTAAATATGTTAACGAAGAGATGCGATAAAAAGACACAACCGTAAAAAATAACCGTGAATATTTCAACGAAAAAATGCGATAAAAAGACACAACCGAAACAAAATAACTGTAAATATTTAAACGAAAGGTTACGTTAAAAAGACGCAACCGTTCAGAGGTGTAAAAGACATTTATTGAGATTGCTATTATATATAGATTTTTGCTTTGTTTCTTTTCAAAGACAAATTAAATTAGACACATTTTCCTCTATATTTATGTTTTCTTTTTTCTTTTCATGATTTTTTTTTGACAAATTATATTTTTTTTTACATCATGGTAACATCAAATTATATTCTATTAAAAAACTAATATAAAATTATATTATGATGAATTAATTTTTAAAATATATAAGATGTTGTAAGAAAAAATTAGTTTGATGACATGTGGTATATCTTCCTTTATTTTTCTATTTATTAATTTAAAAGAATAATATATACTGTAAGACTTTGTTATTAAATTATTTTGCAATGTCACTTTAATAATTTTCATACGTTGGGCTTGTTAAATTCTGTCCATAAACATATTTGTGCATATGCATGTAAATAAAATATATTTTCTTTTAATGATGTACAATTCATCAATATTTTAATAATAAAATCAACCTCTTATAGATATATATATTCTTAATTAATTGATCATAAATATTATTTATTTAATTATTTATTTTAAAATGATGAGAAATAAATAGAAAATATAGGAGGGGGTTTCTTTAGTCAAGTGGTTCCATGGCCACTTCTACAAATTTTCACCGGACTTAAATTTCTAAGAATTGGAGTTATCTTGCATTGTAAGGTTTAGTTGATTATGGGTTGGGCCAAATGATGTTATAATGAAAAAGACAACACTAAATAATATATACAATTGGATTTTGCTCTCAAATTATTGGTATATAATCTAGTTCTTAGAAACAATTTAAATATAATATTTTACCGTAATTTCATAATTAAAGACCAAATATAACTAAGTGTCAATAGCTCAATCGCTAAATTATCTGAGGCAGAGTTGCTAGTTCGAGTGGCGTTTGGGAATGAATCATATAAAATGATTTTGTCCTCCTCAAATCACTTGCTTCTCAACTTCTCCTCTCATGTCGTTTTGTTTGTAGTTGATTGGTGACCTGTTCGATTACCAGCTCGGAATCTCCCTATCATCAGGTAGTGCGTGCCATTCAGAACCAAATCTACCTTATATTCATACAAAGATACAAAAATAACTGAATATCTAAACTTCAAAATATTTAGGGATTTTGGTTGAATCTACCACATTTTGAAAAGTCCTTTCCAAATCTACCACAATTGAATTGACATTTCTAAAACTACCACATTTCTATGTTTTGTGGTATTTTATGGACAATTTTGCCCCTAAAAGGTGTACAGTTTTGTGTCAGAGAAAAAGAACAGTTTTGTGTCAGAAGAACATCTTTGTATCAGAGAAGAAGGACAAGAGCGTTGCATTAAATGCAGTTTACATTTACCATGGACAATAATAATAAAATAGAGTGAATGAAGTCCCCCAAGAGTAAATTCAGATCTCTAGCGGGTAAAATCACACCATATGGCGATTGACAATCATCATTTCCAATTGTCTTCGAATTTAACATAGTGTTGAATTTAAAAAAGATTATACAAAGAGTAATATAACTTGTCTTCGATCTAATTATATTACTCATTCTACACGGCATGTCCCCCAAATATTTACACGATTTAGTTTTCACTTTTCTTCAAAACATTAATACATTTATCGGGGACAAGTTCAGATCGAATGAGTAATAAAATTATATCGGGACAAGTTCAGATTGAATGAATAATATAATTAGATCGGGGACAAGTTCCAATCGAATTGAGTAATAGTAGATCATGGACAAGTTCAGATAGTCTCTTTAAGGGGAAATTGGTCTTTTTGTTTAGCAAATGTGGTAGATTTGGAAAGAGAAGGAAAAAGTGGTAGATTTGAAAAGAATAAATGTGGTATTTGTCATAGTTTTCCCAAATATTTACCTATAGGTATGCAAATTCTTCATTGTTCGTAAACAAATATATTTGTTACCATTGATATATTTTTCAATTATATTTATAATAGTTTAACTTAACAATAAAATTATTAAAAAATTTTGGAGTAGGATGAGTGCACCAAATAACCTAAATAACAATTTCATCAACGTTTAAAACCCTCCAAGTCACCATTTATAAACGGTTTTACAGTCACGTACACCATATATTCAAAATGTAGATTTAGATTCTTCGTCGTGAGATAACTCGATTTGATAACTATTTATCAAAATTTTACAAATTTGACAGTATTGACGACAAATTATATTGCGTACTAATTTTTTTTAGTGGGATTGACCTACATCTTTTGGAGATGGAGGGTAAAATTACAAAAACAAAAATTAGTGACTTAAAAAATTATTTTACAGAAAACCCACCTTTTAATGATATAAACTGCTACACACGCATCTCGAAACTTGAATGGGTAATTCGTATATTTGGAAATTGATATATTATCCGTAATCTTACGGTTTTACCCGTTAAAGTAAATTATTCTGAACTTTTTTTTTTTTGACAACAAACTCCATTTCATTAAGTTATAGGTAAGATACTCTCTCCTCTAGGTAGAGACAATCATAAACAAATAAACTTACATGGGAAAAGAAAGATACACGGATTGTGTTTTTCATAACTAAACACAATACCCGAATATAGAAACAACAAGAAAGATAACTAGTATTAAGAGATAGATAAAAATATCTAAAGACCCTGAAGATAGCGCGATACAATGCGAAGATAGGCCACTTGATGTGGTAAGAAGTTAACCGATGATTGATTGCCAACCACCTTGAGATACAATGCCGCACAAAATGTTTTAGATTCCGTGTTGTTTTGAAATTCCAAACTTGCGCCTGAAGTGCCGAAGCACTCAATCCCTAAAAAGGGAGATCGCAAGTAAGATGAGATAGAGATCTCGCGAAAAAGAGCCAATACCGGCGCCCAATAGAAGATACCAATACCATAATTCTTCGACAAAAGTTTTTGAAAGAAGCAGACAGATTCGAGAAACGTCGTCCTCCTTAACAAGACTTTTATTATCATTCAAGGAGGAGGAAGGTAATATGATACTCTCCAAATAGGAAGCTTGTAATAAAACCGATTTCCCACAAAAGTAGAAAATAGGTGGAAGTGGTCTCTCCCAAGAGGAGGAAAATGATAAGATGTCTCTCTTAATAGAGGAAGTTGAGACAACAAAACCTTTACGGTCTAGAGATTGCACATTTAAAATGTACCAACTAATTTGTAATCTTTGCAAATACAACTTCTCATTTTTGACTAAAACATAAGTGAAACATGAGGGTCTTCCTGGCTCTACTGGCCCAATAACAGGAAAATTAAACACTGGCTCAAAAACCAGGAGAGCAAAAGTTGGCCCATCTCCATTAGTATTCTTCTTATGCTCGTCAGGCCCAATATCAAGGAAAATAAACACTGGCCCAAAAACCAGGAAAACAGAAGCAGACCAATTTCCATCAGAGATCTTTCTAGACTTGTTAGGCCCAGTTCTATGAAAAATAAACTCTGGCCCAAAAACCATGAAATAAGGATTTGGCCCATCTCAATTAGGGTTTCGACCCTTCCTCGACAAAAAATTTTAGAAGCAATCCAGAGGATGCGGAGGTTAAACGTAGACACACCAACGAGCGCCAGAGAAGCTTTCCGGGCTGGTGGAGTAGATCTCACCCGCGGCTGTGATTGGACTCTTCTGGCATCTTGCGGATTCGATGGATCTAGACGAGAGATCGAGATAAATGGTGGAGACAATGGATCCGTGGTCGATCCAAAGACAGTTCTCGACGACGGTGAGTTGCCTCGTCGGAAAGAGATGTCAACCTTCACGAGCAGAACTGTCTTTTTAGATAGAACAGAGACCGTCGATATAATGAGAGAAGGTTGATATAGTGAAACGCAATGGTAACTACATGAAGCGATGTGTTCTCCGGTCAAGGAGACCAAGAAGAGGAGCAAGTTTACTTCGGGGGTGAAACCCGAGATAGAGAGAGGGTAGTAGACCATGGGTGGTTTGCGGAAGCAGAGGATGGCGACCAAGCGAAGACGACGCTGTGGAGCGGCTAGGGAGACGGTCGAGTGGTAGAGAGTGACGGAGTGAGTGGAAGAGACTCTTCGGTCCGCGGGTAACAAGACAAAGACGGTAATAAACGACCGTACTCTCCGGATCTGAGTGAGAAACGAATCTCCGGTTACCGGCATCGAAGCTCTCCTGTTCAAAAGGAAGTTGGAGCAGGTAACTGTCGGGAAAGACGAGTCCAACAAAGCCATAACACCAAAGCTAACAAAGAAGAAGAAGAAAGTGGAAGAGTTGGTCCGACGCCGGCAAGCAAAAGCTTTACCGGCGTCGGAGATCTCAGAAATTGTGATTGTCTCGATAATCGTGTCTGAGAGAGTTTTTAATGTTTTTTTTTTTATATTGGAGGAAGAACTGTAAAAAGAAGACTATTGTAACAATAGTCTTACTTACCACATGGGAGTTACATAATCAAAGCTCTTGGATTTTCAAATTTAAGAGATAATATATCTTATATTTGGAAAATGATATATTAGCGACTTAAAAAATTATTTTATAGAAAACCCACCTTTTAATGATATAAACTGCTACAAACGCATCTCGAAACTTGAATGGGTAATTCGTATATTTGGAAAATGATATATTATCCGTACTCTTACGATTTTACCCGTTAAAGTAATTGCTGGAAAGTAGTGTAAATTTGCGCTAAGTATGGAACAGAAACAGTTTCGAGATTGGTTATTGCGGGCATCGTTTGGAGGTTGTAATGATGTCCGATCGAGCTGAAACTTTGTGGAGTTGTTCATGGTATTGTGAGCTAGATAATCAACGGTGGGATTACGTTTTTAACGGTTAGTTATTGACTTATGATTATGTTTCCGAGACAGATTTCCATAGAATAAATGGTGACGCGTTTGTATTGTTGGTTGGGAAACGAGCTCGGTTTGAGCTGAAGCTTTGCAGGAGATTTCATGACTCTTGGAGTAAGGTCTTGGTGGATGTAGAACTACAGTGAAGCTAAAGACCATGTGGTTGCAGTTAAGACATTAAGTTTGTCTAAAGGAGAAAGGAGTCGAGAGATGTTATACATCTTCAACTAGGCTAAGGTGAGGGTGGTATTTGCGAAGCATAGTATCATTTTCTTTTGTTATGCTTCTTGACGCATGATATGTAGGCTTAGATCTGATTGTATAGGATACGATTATGTGATGCTATGACTTGATGATTGTTAAGTTTGATATGTGTTAGTATGATGTTTGATAAGGTGATGTTATGTATGAGAATGTTAAGTATGATTATGAGTATGTATGAATGATGGACAGTGATGGACCGACGGGTTAACAGCTGGTCAAGAACGGCTGACGAGCCCGGAATGGGAGTGTTTGAGCCACGAGGGCCAGCCTCCACTCAGGAGGTTCTAGTCATCACGAGGATGACTGGACCTAACGATGTATATGTATGGTTATGTGGTTAAGATGAATGTCATGAATGTTGTTATGTTTAGCAAGTAAGAAATATTATGTGATTGCTAGTGTCTAAGTTTATATGTTATGATTATGGTTGTATAGCTTAAGAAAGTGCTCTATGTTTCAGTGGGCAGAGTTGATTCCCCTCACTGAGTATTATTTACTCACCCCTTTTTCCCCTCTTTCCTCAGGTGAATCAGCTTCATGAGTTGTTGTGCAATGTTTTGTTCGTGGGTGAAGTTTAAAGAAAATGTTTTGGCAAGATCGGATGAATAACATGTTGTCTTGGCCTATATGGCGGGACGGGTGTTACAATGTCCATGGGACGGTATAAGTTTTTTCGTTCGATTCTTTTTTCTAATTCCTTTATATGATTTTGCACTATGTCCCTTATCCTCCTACTCTTAAACAACAAATTAACTATTAAATCATATATATGAAAGGATGTTATCTCTCTCCATCCTTTCGCCACGTCGGGACGGGAGAGAGTGCCACGTGTCCTTCAGAAAACTTAAACTTCTCGCCTCCTCATCTACATTTTAGAAGCTGGGAAGCTTGAACATTCGATTGAGACCCATCACCTTCATCTCTAAATATGATATAACTGATCCAATGCTACCCTTGATTCTCCCAAACTTCATTTGTCGTCGGCACCAATAACATTCAAATTCTCTATTATTCGACCATTGAACCGAAGGCTTCATATCCAGCTTATCGATTTTCCGGAGAAGAAGACGTGATGGAAGAGAAACCACTCGGAAAGGGCCTCGATTTTGGCATTTACAAGGTATAGAAAACGTAGGTTCTAATTTCAATTGTTACATATGGTTTCTAGGGTTTTTAGTTGTCATATCCATGGGACGGTATACGTTTTTTAGTTCGATTCTTTTTTCTAATTCTCACTTTTAGTGGTTTTGGACTGTCTTGGTTTCTGATTGGCCATATCTTCATTTTTCCTTAGGCTTTTGTGGTCGCTTCTAAAACCGAAAGGAGCAGATTGGATGTGAGCTTTTTGGAACGTGATGATATATCGCGGATTTTCTGGTTCTGAAACTTGAGAAGAGTTTCCAGACGAACCCTAGGCTGAAGTTAAATGGCCCAAGATCGATTTCAGGTTCTCATTGTTACTTTTGGTGTTTTTATTTTTCTAGGTTCTTACGATCTTTCTAACTTCTAAGGTTAATTATGATTCTCATTTGTTACTGTACTTCCTTGGAACCATGTGAACTAAGAGTTTAATGTTCAAGGTTTTGTCTATCTTGTTAGTTGTAAGATTGTTTTAGTTATGAGATTAGCTATGTGTCAGTTGCTTATTTCAGTTTTCATGGTATGTGTTAGGTCATGCGGAAGCTGTTCTTTATGTTTCATTTATTCCTGATGGCAAGCAATTAGCAAGTGGGTTAGGGAACACCATTGTTAGGCTTTCGGATCTTAAAAGTGAAAAGTCATTGTTTACTTGCAAATGTTAAAAGGTTCCCTCGCTATCATCCTGCATTTTACTCCCCTCTGTAGCTTTCTATTAATAGTTATAAATTTTGTGTAAATGAGTAAAAAGAAGAGCAGTTTCGGAACTCGTTTACTAATTAAATTAGTAAACTTTTGTGTTTAATTATTTGTTAGCTTTACGTGTATATATATGTTTAGATGTGGGGAAAGATGCTTCTTAGTACGTTTCTCAGATAATAGTTTCACTACAAGTTTCATTACTACCATTGAGTATGTCTTCTTCTACAATGGTGGTTTACTTAAAGATTAGGGTGCTTTAGCTCAGAGACAAAATTGGGAGAGCAAATTAGGTAAAAGACAATAGTCCAGAACAATGGATAAATTACATTACAATTGGGTCTGAAGTTTGAAAAAATTACACAAAAACCAGTCTCAATTTCTGTCATGCGCTTGAAAATAACGTAGTTGACTTTTTGGACGAAAACATTTAATTATGACATATTTTTAATGCAAGTGGACATTTACTGACAGTAAGACTAATATTAATCGTTGTTTTCTCAAATTGGAGAAGTTTTAGCACGCTATAAACATATATTACATGTCATTAACATTTGTATACATGTTAACACATATATAGAGCGTTAAAAATAGTTATAGTGTTAAGTTATTCGATCTATACAAGTAAATATATATATAGAGCGTTATCAACATTCATATGTTTTGTGCAGAGAAGAAGAAACATACTCGGATTCTGGAAACAACATCTCTTTGGAAGGGATTTCTGCAGAAATTTGTCCAACCACCCATCTGCATCAAGATCAAAGATGACTTCCCTGTTTATAGAGTCGAATATGAATACTGATAAAGTGTTAGTTTGATACCCTTGAAGGCGATCATGGAGACTGTGAATATGTTGAGAAACGCAGAGAACCAAGTCGTAAAAGCAAATCCTGTCGCTCTTAGTTTCTCTGAAGATTTCAGCACCATGCTTATGATCCCAAGCCTGTGGCACTGACATACACCACCAATTTTGTAAACTAATTACTCTTCTTTATAACAACTCAAAAAGCGTACATACACACACATGTGTGTAGTCCAACAACGGCCTATATGGGTGCCTTCTTCTTCCATGGTGGGTTGATCTTAGAAAGAAGCTCTATTTTTCTTCCTAACTTATATTTATTTTGAAGTTAAACAAATGTGGTGGAAGATGGCAAGTCAAACAAGGCACCCCGTTCTAGGGAGGCGGCTACCGTAATCAAAAATCGAATCTTTTCAAGTAACTATATAATTTTTATGGAATTATCTATATATCGTCGTCACACTATATCCCGTTCTAGCTAGGGAAGAAATAACTTAACATTCTAAATTTATAAACGTCCAAATAGATAGATACACACTGCTTATTTGGAAATGTATAAGGAGGATCGAAGGCGAAGCTGATGAGAAGCCTCGTGTTTTTGTAAGCCTTTCCTGCTCGATCGCGAAGTCGGCCGGACGACTCTAACTACGGACTTCAATTCTGAGAGAGGAAGACATGTCAGCCCCTTGAAATCAATTTGGATGTCATTGTCGTAGTCTTGGTCTTTGAACCACAGAAGCGCCACTTCTCGATCAGACAGCTGAAACAGGGACCCGTCGTTGCTCTATATATGGAAACCACTGATCGACATCTGTTTCCGTTCTGTAAGAGACCGTCGGAACTCCTGCAATTCCAATCTAATGCAACACACACACACACACACACACACAAGACTGATTATGACATCGACACTGAGATACACACTATTGAACTTCTCAAGCACTTACATAAAAATGTACCCCAAAATGTTTCTGAAATAAGATGCCATCTTTCTTCTGACCATTTAGAAGAAAAAAGTATCATTACCAACCGATATATAACTTCCTCTAGATTTAAGGTAAAAGAACAAGCAACTTGCAAGATGTTAAAAAAAAAAAAAACTCCCGATATTTCGAAACCTACAATATACGAATGTTAGATAGTGACAACAACTAAATTAACCTATCCAAGAATTTGAGACAATGCATAGATATTTTTAATAGTGATGTTGTGTCATATTTTATATTTTCAGTGTAACAAAGAGATTTAGAAATTTACCCATTTTTAATGTTCTAAGCATACAAAAATGCAAAAAAAAATAACATATAAAAAATTGAATCAATGAACTGAAAATTCTTTGGTTTTTCAAATGGAATAATATAACTGTATTTTGGTTATATAACGTAAAATAATTGAAAAATTAGTTAAATATAAACCCGCACTATGTGCGGGTGTTCACCTAGTTATCTTATAACTTTTGTGTATATATGAAAACAATTTTTGGATCATTCTTCATTTTAAAAGAAGCTAAATACAGGTAGATATATGAATATAACAATGATGTAACATATTGTATTAAATAGAGGTAAAAATTGTTTTGATTTTATCTCGAGGTGAATTAAAGTGCTAAAAAATAATATAAAACCACTATTTGAACATTTCCTAGACTATTATTTGGATTCGGATTCGGATTCGGGTTAAAATAATTGTGTAAGTACAAGTAATTTCAGATGATTGTGAGTAATTAAGTAATTTTATTATTTGGATAATTATAAATGCCTAAATGGATAATTTGTATATTCACATATTTACTCAACTCGTACTCTTACAAGGTAGAGTAAATTATTTTGATTCAAACTGATCATTTGTATAATCTTTCTTGAAAACATGTATACATCTATCTTAAACTAAAATTTAAGTGTTTTTCAGTTTCTTAAGATTATGGGTAATTTTAAATGTCTAAATGGGTAATTTATAATTATATATTCATAGAATTACTCAACATAACTCTTACAAGGTAGAGTAAATTATATTGATCCAAACTGATCCTTTGTATAACCTTTCTTGAATAGAACAGATCTATCTTAAAACTAAAATGTAAGGGTTTTTTTTTTTCAATTCCTTAAGATTATGTTTCCAATCTTTATTTTACCATTTCTCTTAAACAGAAAAATTGAATATGTTTTTAATAAGTATTCTAAATTTATTTTTAGATAAAATTTAGCGCAATCTTTTATTTAAGGTGTTTTGGGGAAATACTTCGCTCTAAGAACTCGAGTAAGGAGTGACTGAGGCTCTTTTAACATCATCGAGCTTCGCATGGCTAAAAAGAAGCTAAATACAATGTAGATATATGTATATAACAGTGATGTAACATAGTGTATTAAATAAAGGTAAAATTGAAACAATTTTATCTCGAGGTGAATTAGTGAAATATAATATAAAATCACTATTTGAACATTTCCTAGACTATTATTTGGATTCAGATTCGGGTTAAATTATTGTGTACCTATTGTGTACAAGTAATTTAAGATGATTATGAGTAATTTTAAGTAAATTTTATTATTTGGATAATTTTAAATGCCTAAATAGATAATTTGTATATTCACATAATTTCTCGACCCGTACTCTTACAAGGTAGAGTAAATTATTTTGATTCAAACTGATCATTTGTATAACCTTTCTTGAAAAGATGTAGATATATTTTAAACTAAAATTTAAGGGTTTTTCAGTGTCTTAAAATTATGGGTAATTTTAAGTAAATTTTCTTATTTGGATAATTTTAAATGCCTAAATAAGTAATTTATAATTATATATTCATAGAATTAATTACTCAACAATCAACATGTACTCTTACAAGGTAGAGTAAATTATATTGATCCAAACTGATCATTTGTATATTCCTACCCAAAAAAAAAAAAAAAAATTATCATTTGTATAAACTTTCTTGAAAAGCATAGATCTATCTTAAACTAAAATCTAAGATTTTTTTTTTTTCAATTCCTTAAGATTATGTTTCCACTCTTTAAATTACCATTTCTCTTAAACACAAAAATTGAATATGTTTTCCTAATAAGTATTCCAAATTTATTTTAGGTAAAATTTAGCGCGATATTTTATTAAATTTTACGTTTACAATCTTATTATTTAATATTTTATTTTAATAATCACGTCAATAGATATTTTCTCATATTCAATATGGTAAACATAATATAAAACTATAAATAATATATTTACAAATGATAAATTTTTGATAAATTAGAAGTTCACACTACATGCAATAATCACATATTAGTTCCACCCTAAATAAATGATAAAAAATAAAAATCATAAAATATCTTTATCTAATAAATTAAACGTTCATAAAACCAAAAATGTCTCAGAATACAAAAGTCGTCCAAAAGAGGACATATATTAGTCAAGTTATTTCTATTTTCATAATTATCGTTAATTCACATGCAATTATTATTATTCTAATAAGAAAAGTGAATCTCCCCCTATAAAAAATATCAAAATACTGTCTAAAAAAGGTAATCTATAAAACTATTTATAAATATCTAAGAATGAGTTGTCTAATTTCCATTGGATAAACAATATAAAAGATAATAAACAAAAAAAAAAGTCAGAGAAGTTAAACCAAAAGCAACAAAATGAAAACAATTTTTGGATAAGTATCATTCTTCATTTAACTATTAAATTATCTTATAACTTTTGTGGAACATTTTGTATATATGAAAACAATTTTTGGATAAGTATCATTCTTCATTTAAAAAGAAGCTAAATACAAGGTAGATATATGAATATAACAATGATGTAACATATTGTATTAAATAGAGGTAAAAATTGTTTTAATTTTATCTCGAGGAGAATTAAAGTGCTGAAATATAATATAAAACCACTATTTGAACATTTCCTAGACTATTATCTAGATTCGGATTCGGATTCGAGTTAAATTATTGTGTAAGTACAAGTAATTTCAGATGATTGTGAGTAATTAAGTAATTTTATTATTTGGATAATTTTAAATGCCTAAATGGATAATTTGTATATTCACATATTTACTCGGCCCGTACTCTTACAAGGTAGAGTAAATTATTTTGATTCAAACTGGTGATTTGTATAACCTTTTTTGAAAACATGTAGATCTATTTTAAACTAAAATTTAAGGGTTTTTCAGTTTCTTAATATTATGGGTAATTTTAAGTAATTTTATTATTTGGATAATTTTAAATACCTAAATAGGTAATTTATAATTATATATTCAAAGAATTACTCAACATGTACTCTTACAAGGTAGAGTAATTTATATTGATCC